TACACATCTAGATGTGTATAAGAGACAGGTCCCATTCAGCTTGGTGTAGTGCTCCGCTGCCAGGCTCCACGAGGCGCACCCGTATAGGAGGGTCTGCACCACTTCAGCCTGGAGTAGTCGGATCTTGCGCTGGCGGTTGGCCCGTTTCCTGTCGTACATCGAAGTGCTGTTGCGGCGGTAGCACTTCCATGCTCGGCAGATGCGGCTCGTGATCTCCCGGTCGACCTTCCCATCCGCGCAGATGGTACGTCCGAGGTACACAAACCGATCTGTCTGCTTGTACGTCTGGCCAGCGGCGCTGACCGCGAACGGGCGTTCCCCCAGCCCTTTCGGTAGCATGCACATGATCTCCGTCTTTGGCTCCGATACCATCAGTCCGAACAGGCCGGCCACGCGCACGATGATGGACATCATCTTTTCGAGGCTCTCCGGCGTGAGCGAGACGATGGCCGCGTCGTCAGCGTAGAGCATGTCCCACAGGGCCTCTGCGACCGTCACCATCATCGCCTTCTTCCCCGCCGACCTGCCCCTCTTGCCCGTGCACTCCACTCGTGTTGCGATCTTGATCATATCCGCCGTCACCTTGGGGTCCTTGTCGAACTCGGTCACTGCGACCATGCGCATCGCGGCAGAGAACAAGTTGAACAGCAGCGGGGCCAGGTTGCACCCCTGTCGGAGACCTTGGCCGACGTCAAACCATTCCGAGTACTGCCCGTCGTCCGTTCGAACCCGCGCCCTCATGCCCTCGTGGAAGTGGCGAATGACCGCCAGCATCTTCGGGGGCACGCCAAAGCGTCCGAGCACGTCCCACAGCAGATCTCGGTCCACCGAATCGTACGCCTTGGTGAGATCGACGAAGCACGCGAAGACCGCAGTACTCTTCTTCCTCGCGAGCTCATGGAGCCGCTGGATCGCGAACAGCATGTCGAGCGTCGACCGGTGTGGGCGGAAACCGCTCTGCTCCTCCGGGAGGATGCCCTCTCGCTCGCAGTAGTGGCTTAGGCGTGTTGCAACGACCTTAAGCAGCACCTTGCCGGCGTGTGCAACGAGAGAGATGCCCCGGTAGTTGCCGCACTCCATCGTGTCCCCCTTCTTGAACAGAACCTTGATGGTGGCGTCCTTCCACTGCTGCGGTACGTTCCCCGTCTGCCACACGTCCACGACGATGGCGTGGAATTCGCGGAGGAAGCCTCGGTCTCCATCCAGGAACAGCTTGATCAGCTCAGCCGGTAGGTCGTCCGGCCCGACGGCCTTCCTGTTGGCCATTCCCCGCACCGCCTCCTCAACCTCGAAGAGAGACGGGATGTCGTCGAGCGGAACGCACGTGGGCCACTGCTTGACTCTGTCGGTCGCATGCAGGTCGATGGTCGGCGACTTGGTGTTAAGGAGCTTGTGGAACCACCGCGCCCACCGCTGGCGGGTAAGCGTGGGGTCCCGAAGGACCTTACCGTCCTCGTCCTTGATGTTCTGGGAGGTAAGTGGCCTCTTACCTTCGACGTCGAGCATCTTCAGGTGCCTGTAGAAACCCGCCTGGTCCCCCTCACGGCTCTTCTTCTCGAGCTGCCTCACATAGCCCTCGAAGAACTTTTCCAGTGCTAAGTATCGAAAGCTGTACTAAAAGTACTGAAACTTTTATTCCAGCATCGAGAGCAGTACCAAAAGTACTGAAACTTTCATTCCAGTATCGAGAGCTGTACTAAAACAGCCAATACATTCCAGTATCGAGAGCTGTACTAAAACAGCCAGTACACTATCAAGAGCCGTACTGAGCATGCAGTTTATTCCAGTATCTAGAGCTGTACTACGTAAAAGTACTGAAACTTTTATTCCAGTATCGAGAGCTGTCCTAAAACAGCCAGTTATTCCAGTATGCCTCTCAGGTACTAAATACTGCTGTGCAGTATCGCCAGTACAATCCTGCTGTACTAAACACACCCGTGCAATTATGGAGAAAAAAAAAAATGTACCCTCCTCGCTCCTTGTGGCACAGCACCTGGCGTTAGGCAACCTCACTCTCGCAAGGCTCGCGATCATGATCAAGAACATCACCCGGACGCCAGCAACAAACAAGAAAGTCTGTCTCAGCATTGGCGCGACACTGTTCTTTAGTTTCCTTGCTGCGTTGAGTCAGGCGGAAGTGCCTTGCGCTGACGGTGTGACGGCTCTGAGCGTCTCGAGCACAGCTGAAGCACTGGAGCTCACCAACGAGCTCGAATGCTCTGGGGCAGGCGATTTTGAAGTAGAGTGGAGTGGTGAGGTCGTGGTGACGAAGACCTTTGCTGTATCCACCGGAACCTCTCTAAAGATCACCGGGTCAATTTTTGATGGAGCAGTGATCGACGGCGGCGGGGCAGTCCAGCTTTTTGTGGTTAACGATGGGTCCCAGCTCGAACTCGACAGCGTTTCGGTGGTTCGAAGTTTCGGAACTGCGGTGGATGCTTCTGAATCGCAAGTCACTGCAACCGACTGCACATTCTCCAGCAACAACGGTTCCTCCTCCATAGCAGGTAAGGTAAAACCTCGCCTACGGCAAGACGGCAAATAGTTGTGGGTCCAATTGTTGTTGTTGTCGTTGTTGGTCGTTGTTGTTCGTGAATAAGATTATTGGAAGCAGACACAAACGGTCTACTGGGAACCCGAGTTCATGCACACGTGCGGCTGCGGGTAAAGCCCACCCATTGATAGCACGAGCGAGAGGGCATCCTCCCGGAGGAGCAGAGCGGTTTCCGCCCACACCGGTCGACGCTCGACATGCTGTTCGCGATCCAGCGGCTCCATGAGCTCACGAGGAAGAAGAGTACTGCGGTGTTCGCGTGCTTCGTCGATCTCACCAAGGCGTACGATTCGGTGGACCGAGATCTGCTGTGGGACGTGCTCGGACGCTTTGGCGTGCCCCCGAAGATGCTGGCGGTCATTCGCCACTTCCACGAGGGCATGAGGGCGCGGGTTCGAACGGACGACGGGCAGTACTCGGAATGGTTTGACGTCGGCCAAGGTCTCCGACAGGGGTGCAACCTGGCCCCGCTGCTGTTCAACTTGTTCTCTGCCGCGATGCGCATGGTCGCAGTGA